TGGTGACTAAGCAATCAACTCCTATGGCTGGCCAAATTTGGCACATGACCCTTGTTTCTGCCGAACTAAATACAAAGTTACTAAAAGAATAGATAAAACATTACACACCTGAGCCATTGGATTAATGCTACAAGGATACTCCAGATAGGGGCAGATCTTTCTGTTACATTGCCTAATTAATTTGTCCTTAGCTGTGACAATAGGAATAGCTGTTTTTGTTATTGCTTTGAAAAACCCCAAGAGGAATCAATGGTTTGGAAGGCAACTCTGCAGTGCGGTTGGCACTTGTAAAGCATTATAAGGCTCATCAAGGGAGACAATTCAAAATTATTCAAATGATTCAGATGCCACGGTTCCACGGCCTGACCATATGGGACCCAACCAGTCCCAACAGCTCAGCAGCCATTTCATTTTTGAAGAATTGTGCATGGGTATTATGCTGAGTTTTATGATTCTCTTAGTATTTGCAACACTTTTGTGGTGTAATGTTGTCTACGAATGTCCTGTGTGAAACAAAAGCTGTTTGTCAACAGGATCGAGTCCCTTATATGACCACTTAGGTTTGCATCTATCTGTAGGCAGTGCTTAGCTTGACTATATAAATGTATCTACTCTTTATCATATTAATTGCCTCTGCATTTGATTATTACTGGTTTTAGTAATAACTTAATAACTAGCTCTATGATGGGCTGTGCGGACCCTCGGGTCGCTGTGCAGATTCAATGCGAGGTCTATGGTAGGCTGTGCAAACTCTAAGGTGGCTGTGCAGATTTCTATGGTGGGCTGTGTGGACTCTCAGGTGGCTGTGCACGTTCTATGGTGGGCTGTGTGGGGTCTGAGGTGGACTCTCATGTGGCTGTGCAGGGTCTATGCTGGGCTGTGTGGACTCTCAGGTGGGATGTGCAGGGTCTATGGGCTGTGCAGTCTAACCAGGGGTCCCAGCGGGTGCAGGCGGCGTAGATCCACGGGAAGGAGATTTTCGGCCGGCGTTGTAAACAGGTGCCGTGATTCACAGAAAGACTGCCGGGACCTTAGCAGCCGTCCTGTAAAGCCATAGGCAAACTTTGCACTCCAGCTGCTGTGGAACTACAACTCCCATGAGGCATTGCATACCTCTGACAGTTGCAGGCATGACTTCCACAGTCTAGGGCATGTTAGGATTCATAGTTTCCACTCAGCTGAAATGACAAGGTAGCCTACCCCTGGGCTATGTCTTTAAAACATTACTCTGATCTTAAAGTGGTAATGACATATCGGTGCTGAAGTTGCTCATTAAACAGACCCACAAAGGCAGGAATTTTATATACAAAGTTACCTGACCAGCATTAAAAATGTGGCCTTGTTTTTTATGCAAACAAAACAAAACCAAAGATTACATTACAAAAGCAGCAAATTCTCTCATCCACGGATCCCCCCAACAAACTCCATCACGGCAGCCCGGATACACAACACACGTGCTGCAATGTCTGATAGCTCTGCGTTCCATGCCGGAATACACCATTCTGCGGCACAGGAGGGAGCGATTTCTGGAATATTATTTCAGCGGCCCTTTTTCTTCCCTAAATTATTTTTTCGTTTTTAGCAATACGAATAAGCTCTTTAGCAGTTTACAAAACGTATACACAGCGCTGGCGTTTTCTGTAATGTTCTCTACCCTTCTTTGTAATGGTTGTGTCCGTTGCCATGGTGACGCGTCCAGCCGGTGTCTTCTCAGGAGAATGAAGGACGGAGGCCTAACTATTTCTAACTTTTCCTAGAGCGCTTCTTCGGGAACTTCATTACTTCAGTGTCGGGTAATTTTACACAGTGCCAGCCGAGGGCAGCGTGTTTGTATTCTTTGGTGTGGCTGAGCATAACTTTTTAAATGGGTGCTGTCCGTTCCCATACTCAGAGCATTGTTCATGTATGTATTGCAAACACATGTAAATATGTCGGTTTGGTTACAGGTGTGTATGTGTAATATGCATGTTTAGGGCAGTTTATGCCTCATATATTTTTTGAGATTAGATCTAGGGAGAACCGGCCACTTTAAAACTTGTGCACGCAATTACGGACGCGGTTATGTGCGCTGAGGAGCACTGCGTTTCGGTCAGTGGTTCTCGATCACCAGACCATGGCCCTCTGCTGGTCTGCGTCTAAAGCCAATGATTTGGGGAGCTATTCTTTCTTGGGGGCCACTAGCCCACTGACACCAATGATTTGGGGAGCTATTCTTTTCTAGGGGACACTATCCCACTGACACCAATGATTTGGGGAGCTATTCTTTTCTAGGGGACACTATCCCACTGACACCAATGATTTGGGGAGCTATTCTTTTCTAGGGGCCACTATCCGACTAACACCAACTAGTCTTCCCCTGGGGTACTTTATCCTGCTGAATTAATCGAGAGGCAATTCTTCCCTGGGGGCCACTATACCTCTGACACCAATTATTTTTTGGAACTATTCTTTATTGGTAGCCACTGTTCTAATGACACCAATGTATTGAGTGACTATTGTCCCCCAGGGCCATGATTCCAAAGACGTCAAGGAGTTGAAGGACTAATTCTTCTAGAGGTTCGCTATCCCACGATTACCGGGTGTTCGCATAGGACGGGTCTTTTCTGCCCGTGCGTGCCCGCTAGTGGGCGCGCGCGAGCAGAAAAAAAATGCCGTCTGGCGACGGCAACCCGCCATTGCAGCAGTGCCGTCCGTCCGTTTTTCTACTACGGGCGGACACTGTTCCAATGACACCAATTATGTGGGTCTATTGTCTGCTGGGGGCCACAAGTTCACTAACACTAATGATTTGGGGGCTATTCTCACTAATTACATATCAATATGTGGCAATACCTCCAATCCAGAGCTGTTCCCCTCAGCACTTTTTTGCCACAGGATCTCCTCAGTCTTCTGTGTGGAGGTAGGAGGGGCAATGCCGCCCAGCTTCCTGATTGTCCGGGAAGCCAGCTTCATGCTCCCTTGTCACCAATGAGCATGGAGCCGGCTTCCTGGCCAATCAGGAAACCGGGTGGCGTGTAATGACTCGCCGTCCGGCTTCTTTTTTGGTCGGGAAGCTGGCCAATCAGGAAGCCAGGCGGCAAGTAATTGCCCGTCACCTAGTGATGAAGGAGCATGTAGCCAGCTAATCAGGAAGCCAGGCGGTGAATCATTACACACTGCCTTAATGGGACTTTCGGTATTCGGTATCGGTACTCGTACTCAATACCGAAAATCCAGTATTGGTGCATCCCTAGTTGCTAGTATGGAGTTACCCTGATTGTTGCTTACTTCTCAAAATGTTCCTCTTGGTAGCTGTAAAGTGGTAGCATATTGCAAAGTCTGGATTTATAAAGCATGATCATTTTCCTCGGTGTGGTTGTTATTCTTTAGATAAATCAGGAAGCAGAGGTGCATAAATGGAAGGTTCCATTGTTTCTGAAAGGCTAGAAGATGAATCAGAGATGTTGTTTTTGGAGGAAGAGGAAAATCTACCAGGGCACATCTGGACACAGGAAGAACAAATAAAAGGTAACAATAGTAATACCACTACCGTAACAGTCTTTGGTGAACTTCAGATGTCAAACCTTGATTCCACCATTGCTTTCTATTTGGCCTTGTCTTTTGCTAGGTGAATGTAATGTCTTACCTCACTGCCTGTCATTTCCTGGATGTCATCCATCCACCATGTTCTTTTTCTCCCTTTCCTGCTTTTTACCATGAAAGGTAACATAAAAGTATATTTGGCTGAGTCATATGCACAGCACAAGAGCTGCAGCTTTTGGTATTCTTTAGAATAAATATGAATTTGAGATTTGTGACGCATATGCAACATCTATGAAGTGAGACCATAAGTGAAGAGACATAGAGGGGAATTTATCAAAACTGGAGCAGTTTCCCATTGCATCCAATTGGCTTCTATCTTTCATTTTCAAAGCTTAACTGAATAAACTGAAAGGTTACTATGGGCAACTGCTCCAGATTCTGTCTGCTCCAGTTTTCCCCCCAAACTATATCTATATAAGATATATAGATACATAATATAGATATATAAGGTACACCTTTTTTTTGTGCTTTTTATATCTGTAAAAAAAAGTCAAGGCAACTGGACTTGCTGTATTTTTCTTGAAGACGTTTCACTGGTCATCCAACCAGCATTCTCAATTCCGAATGACTTGTAAAAAAAATTGTACAAGTCATTCTGAATTGAGAAAGCTGGTTGGATGACCAGTGAAACGTCTTCAAGAAAAATACAGCAAGTCCAGTTGCCTTGACTTATTATTTACAGATATACCATGACCTGGATGAATGAGAATCTTCACAGACATTTTTAGTTTCCTAATAATACAGGAATACATTTTGCATAGTACTCCTGTAATCAAAAATCCACCATAAGCTTGCGGTTCAATATAATACAGTGTGGGCGGGCTAAGCTCTGTACTGAGAAGCGATCCTGATCATATTTTAAGGATCCTCCCCACTCTTCTCTAGTCCCATTGAGTGACATCGCCTTATAGGAGCTGCTGCGCGTTCAAGGTCCGCAAATACTAACCACCACTCCAGTGATAAAATATCCGACATCTTCTCCCCGGCTTCTTCTGGGTGCCAGGTTTTCAGCCATCTTGGCTGGCTGGCAGGGGTTGACATAACAGGAGTTCATTTTTTCCGCCACCAAGGTGTGCCAAGAATGTACTTTGAGTTGCACATGCGCAGCTCTCTCCATATTAGGCAGGTAAGTTCATTTTATTGCACAATAAAAAAGTCTGCAATAGAGAACCTGCCTGCTATTTTTTTTCTTTTTTTTTTTTTAAATGTATTTTTTTCACTTTAATACCACTTGCCTATCCTACTTACCTGTTCTGTAGAAAATGCGGCTTTGCAGAGACACTGCCACTTTTCCCTACATGGCCAAGGTGACAGTGCCTCTTTGATGAAGAAAATGTGAGTAACTCCGCTTTATTCCACAAATATAGAGTTTTATTACAATACGTTTCTGTTTTCTATGTGTATATATAATTGCCTTTGTGTATTGATGCATCCACTGCTTCTTGTTTTTGCCTTCCAAGATGATGAATTTCCATATGGATACGCAGCAGAAAACCTCCAGGATGACGATGTCCTTGATGTAATAAATGACAGTTTTGATTCTGACTCTGAGTGGTAAGCACAGTATGTGACATCTGCCTGGCACACACAGTCTCTACTTGTCATGTGTTGGAGGATTGGGCTCTGTTGGCTGTGTTCTCAGCTTAGGTTTATGAAGCACACAGAAAAACAAAATGCATGCAATAACCATTTGGTGTGTGTTTAATGCCGTTTTTATGTGTTTTCAAGAGTAATATTCTGAACTGAGATAGGTCTGAATCTCCAAAACTGCCTGTTCCGAGCAGTAGCATGTTTATTTATTAGTTGTTAAAGAGAAAAAAAAAAATAGTGAATGGTTTTCTTTTAAACTGCTCTGCGTGAAACAGATGATTCTTAAGGAGTATTAGAGAAGGTCTAGCGAGGACAACGGCTCAATTAAAAGTGCATCATGTGGAAAAAAAATATAGATAAAAAAATAACAGTTGAACAAAATCCAAATGTTGTAATATCTTTCAGCTCAGGCCATTTATACTGTACATTCTTGTCATATATGTATTTTCTTGCGATCCTTCTTTATTTAAAGGAGTAACCGGAGTAACTGGAATAAGGCAAGAATCTGGATATCCAATTTTAAAGTGTATTTCCACTTTTGTGGTCAAATTTGAGAACCCCACACTATATGTGTGTTCATATGTGTTCTTGATCACACCCTGTTGCAGGCAATGAGAGCTCTCTCTGGGCTTATAAACATGCTGCAGACGAGTTACAGATTTAATTTTCAAGCTACTTATTTTAGGGAGGAAAAATTTGGAACAGACTCTTCACCTTAGACCAGTCACCTTAAAGCAGACCTTTACACTCAAAAATCAAATTCTACCAATGCATCCCTCTATGTATGATGATTAATAATAACATAGACATGTCCGGTGTATAATGCTGTTATTATGAAATACTTACACTTGCAGAGCATTCACCTTCTGCTTTGAAAGGGGAAAATGGCTTTAGTTTGGCAAAGCAATGCACACTGGGATTGCCTTGTCATCAGCAGAGCATTGCTGGAAAATCTCATCTGTAATCTCACGAGATCTCAGGGAATGGCATTTTCCTCCCCTGAGATGATGTGCATGGTCACATATCTAATCACATGTGCCAGAAATCCAGGAAGTAATAGGAGAGCTAGTAATCTGCCCTTAGTAAACATGGCCACTGTCAGAAGACTGGGGAGGAAAAGAGAAATAAGCTATGCAGTGCAGCCCTAATTGTCATTACTAAATATTTCTAAAGGTGTGTTTGTTGTTAGTTTATAGATATGGGTAAAGGTCCGCTTTAGGAGGGGTTACCGAGCTTGGTGTGAAGAGAGTTCTTGTCTTGTCATTGGGGATGAGCCGAACACCCCCGTGTTCGGTTCGTATTCGAACCGCTGAAATGTTCGAGTACGAACTCGAACTCAATGCAAGTGTATGGAGGTCGAATGTTCGACCCCCATACAGCTGCTGATACATGTGGCTGCAGCGGCCTGTGTCCCTTCAAATCCCCACCTGTGTTGGCGGAGGCAGCGGGGGCACAGACCGCTGCATTGCTCCGCTGCCCCCCGTACCTCTGCTGCTGTCTTCCCCTGGTCCGTCGGCACCTCTGTTCCCCCGTCCGGCCGCAGCACCTTGTCTTCTTCCGGTCCGTCCGCACCTCCTCTTCTGCCGGTATGTCCGCTCCTCTTCCCGGGTCTGTCCGCTCCTCTTCTCCCGGTTCGCCCACTCCTCTTCCTCCGGTCCGTCGGCTCCTCCACTCCCCCGGTCCGGCCGCTTCTCCTCTGCCCCGCTCCCTCTTCATCTGCAGGCTTTGAGCCATACCCAGCCTGCTATTGGATATTGTAAAATGCAATAGCCAATAGCAAGCTGGCTATTGCACCCGCCTGCTGTCAATCAGCATGGGGGGACCTGATAGAGAACCTTCTCTAGAAACTTTCTCCTTCAGGCCCCTCCTCCGCTGAGCCCTGATCGGGCAAAGTCTTGCACCTGACATGTGGTCAGGTCCAAGACTTTAACAAATCAGAGCTTCAGTGGGCATTTTGTATTATGGAATGTCTGCGGTCGAACAAACCGCGAACATCCCATAAAGTTCGGCGAGCGCTCGAACTGTCGATGTTCGATTCGAACTCTGACACCAGTGCGTCATCCAGATGGGAGTCCAAATATTCCCAGACTGCTGCAGTCAGGGTCCATATCATTGTTTAGTTCGCCCTTATGTGGTTCTATATGGTCAGGACATACCATTTTGCATCCACATGCAGCTCATAGCTTCCACTATCAGAAGGAATAACTCATTTCCCTACAAAAAACATTTTGGATCCTCTGAGAAATGAAACATATTCCCTCTGATGTAAGAAAATGAGTGTTGATCCAAGATGCTGTAAACTTTCAATTTGTAATGCCCTGTCCCTTCCTGCTTAGTTGCAGTCGCATAGTCTGTAAGCATTCTTTGATTGTTTATCATCTGCTAGCACCAATGTCACTACAGGACACAGTAGTAACATAGGAGCTGGCGGATGGAACCACAACATGAAGCTGGGGCCCAGGTATCCAATGGAGTTGGATCGTAAAATATCTGCTGGCAGCGACAGCTTCGTTTTTTAAAAGAGAACAAAGATTCGCAGGAGAGGTAATTATAAACATTCTTTTTTATATGGGTATAATTTTATATTTTTGGTAACAGAGGCAGGTTGAAGCAAACAAAAAATACAACATATAGAAATCTTTTTTGAAATGCACTACACTGGAACACTATGATATAGACATGCTCATCTGAAATTAATTGTTTTACATTAATTGTGAAACAAATGTGAATTTTAGAAAAGAATGTCAGCAGGTCCTATAGCAGCAGTATTACGTATGGGGCTTGGAATATACTGTAGGAGCATTAAAATGAATGCTGTTTTCATGTGAGGAATTAAACTGACATTGCATTTCTGAAAAATGACTGTTTTAGGGTGTGAATTTTCCTTTCTTTCAGGTCCAGTGAACAGCACACAGATCAATATGAGATAGTTAAAGATTTCAGCTATCTCGATAAGGTTCAGATGTTCCAACTTCGTAAAAAACTGAACCAGCTGGATAGTTTCCAACAGGATAAGGAATTAATGCTTCAGAAAATCAGGTATGTTTTTTTTACAAACTACACTATCAAGAGACCTAGTCTTGCAGCAGTAAATATACATCATGTGCTTCTGTAGGCAGCGTCTCTGCAACTGCTAAAATTAAAATAAATTATCTGCACTTCAGTGACTTTTTTTAATTGATTCTTGTTACATTTTCACTTCAACAGTTTAGGTAGAGAACCATATAGCACTGAGGCTAATTATAATGATGGACACATGTAACCAAAGTACTTATTTGAATTTAAAAAAAAAAAGATTTTTTTGTAGTATATCAAAGTTTCATCTGGGACCAATGTAAGGCTTTAGTCGAAGAATTTGTAGGTTCTAAGGCAGGGGTGGGCAACTCTGGCCCTCCAGTTGGGCTTTAATTACAAATCCCAGTATACCTCTGCCTCTGGGAGGCATGCCTTTAACTGTCAGTCTGGCAATGCCTCATGGGTCTTGTAGTTCAACAACAGCTTGAGGGCTGGAGTTCCCCACCCCTGTGCTAAGGGCATGTGTTTAGGTGGTGCTGTTAGTTTTCTTTGAAAGAGTTTAATCTGAACTGAGGAAGCTACTTAGATGAGTAGGGAAACTCAAAACTAAAAAGTAAGACCAGTTAATTGTGACTACTACTAGCAAGTTTCTAACTACCTAACTTGAATATTGTAACGTGGCTTTAGTCTTCAGAGAACAGTTGGAACTGCAGGCATGGATGTCGGCAGAGATCTTTTATAATAGTCTCAGGCACTGACATGCATTAGATCAACAAAGCATGCAAGGAGGAAGGAGAGCAGATAGTAGATCAACCAAGCATACATGCAGGAAGGAGAGCAGATGGAGCCTCTGGTTCTTGTGTATGTCATGGGAAATTGTAGCCACTGGACAAAGTTTTTTTAACCTGTCTGATCAATCTTTCTTCTTGAGATTATTCAGCCAGTCTTCTAGTGCTTATGAACCCAAGATTGCCAACTATTGTGGCCAAAATTAGATCAGGCAACATTCATTTCACGTAAGAATGACATGTACTCTAAAATTACTTGTGGCAAGATTACAATATTATGCATGATTACAGCTGAAACTCGAATAATTAGAATATCGTGCAAAGTTCATTTATTTCACTAATGCAACTTAAAAGGTGAAACTAATATATGAGATAGACTCATTACACGCAAAGCAAGATAATTTAAGCCGGGATTTGTCATAATTGTGATGATTATGGCTTACAGCTCATGAAAACCCCAAGAACCCCAAATCCACAACCTCAAAAAAGTAGATTATTACATGCAATCAATAAAACAAGGATTGTACATAGAACAAAATTGGACCTCTGAAAAGTACAAGCATGCATATGTACTCAGTACTTGGTTTGGGCCCCTTTTGCAGCACTTACTGCAATTACTTTTGCACGATATTCTAATTATTCGAGTTTCACCTGTATATTAGCACTCATTAGAATGAATGTGGTAAATCAATCTTCAATATATTATATTTTTTTTTTTAGGGAAGAGCTCAGAGCATGCCAAGAGAGAATGGAGTCTTTGGAGCAACAGAAATCTAGTGTGGAAATGGAGATTCAGACAGAACAACAGGCTAATAACATGTAATAAGATACTTAGTTTGGCCCTAAGAGTGGAGAACAGATTGTGTAAACAGGCTAGAGTAGCATACAAGCCATTTTTGTCATTAGGTTACTTGAGTGTCAAAATGTACCATACCTTTCAAATAATGGATGCGGCCACCTAGGGCTTGAGAAGGAGAGCAATGATACAGAACCAAAACCTATACTCGGTTTGGCCCATTCTTCTTCGGTGTACTGAAATCAAATGAAGAAAGCCACACCTCTGCTATATGTATTTTTCAGTATTCCAACAAGCTTAATTGCCACTTTAATACATGTGCAGCAAGCCAAAGCACATACTTCTCCACCAGACCCTGCTCCTACTCCTCCAAGGCTCCAAAAGGGACTTAGTTATAGAGGTTTCTCCTTGACTTTGGATGAAAACTCATTGGAGGAGTAAGAGCTACGTGCTTTGGCTTGTCTGTATACAAGCATCAATAAAGCTGTATGAAGTATTAAAAAAAGGGTGCAGTAGCAGTATTTCCTTTTTTTATATTTAGGTATGTGTTTAAGCCTTAAATCAGTTTACTGGCACAGCTCAAGCAGTGTTTGCATGCAGTAACTATTCCATCCATCTCCTATACCTCTTTGATGGGCAAAAACACCAGAGCCTTCCAGCACAGGTCTCCAGCCTGCTGTAATGTAAAGCTTTTGTGCTGTTTGTATATGGATGTCTGTTATCAAAAGGTAGCATCAAAGGCTGATGACTCAGTACCAATTCTCTGCAAGAGAGGTGACATCTTTAACCATTCCTACTGATTATCAGATAGCATAGGGGACATATAGCAGCCAACACCAACCAATAAGTTGATTGTTTTAATAGGACAAGGTGTCTGTTTGTACTGTTGCAGAACTCGGGAAGATGGCAGCATGTAGTGCTCAGCGGTAGTTTGTAAAGAAGGAAGATCTCAAATATGCGTATGAACTATGTCTGCCTATGGCTAGTGAATTCAGAAGAAAAACTGTGCTGAACATGTGTTGTAGTCATGGCTCCTCAGTAACAAACAGATGCTACAGGTGATGTAAGATCTCCCTGAGGTCCTGGGCTATAACACATATTTAGTCTCAGCATCTGCTTTATCTTGTTGGAATTGAGGACTCTGGAGGTAAGATGCTGCTTTGTTCTATATACTGCTTGAGGAACACAGCACACAGTTGCTGTACATTTCTGGCAGTGTTTGTTGCATACAGATATGGAGTTATAAAACTCAGTAGTGAAAGGGCAGTTATTTATCAGTCATTGTAAAATCAGGATACTGTTTTTCTTTTCTGTCTTTCCTTATTCCATTATGGGTTTAGTCAGAGCTAGCAATATATATATATAACTGTACAGTACGCAGGCAGACAGTTTGATATATTACATTGTATATATGCAGCAAAACACCACTATTTCTAAACATTCTGAAGGGAATTTATCAGAATCTGGAGCAGACAGAATCTGGAGCAGCTGTGCATGGCCACCAATCAACTTCTATCTTTCATTTTGAAAGCTTAACTGAACAAACTGAATGGGCAAATGCTCCATATTTTGTCTTGTTTGCTTCAGTGTTGATAGATTCCCCCCCTCTGTTTTTTGAAAAGGTAATGCCTTAAAAAAGAGAGTACCAGTCAGGAATGGGCACTTGTAAGAATCTGAATCTCTATGCATAAAGCAGATCTAACACCAATCATTAAAATCACATATAATCATTAGCGTGTTAATGGAATTTCAAAAGTTGTTTTCAATCAGTATGCAGCTTTCATTAAAATAGAACTAGGCGATCCCATCATAGTATATACAGTACATCCTTGTTCAGGTACTTTCTTCTGTTTCACAGAAGTGCTCTTATGTTGTCACCTTGTCACATGGACCACTGGTGAAAAGTACAAGTGGCCATGCTGACACAGATTGAACAGGCATGGTCTGCTGTCATGGCTATCGGGAAGCCAGTCCAGAGTAATACATTTCTAGATGATGCTGGAGCGAGCACATATAGACAGAAAATGCCTGAAAGAGGCTGAGAGAGATCAGCAGCCCTGAGCTGCCAGTAAAAAGGATGAAAAAACCTAAAAACAGTATGAACATTCTAATAAAAAATAGCAATTGTTTATGATAGACTGTTGGGGTTATTCACAAAAAGGTGAAGAGTTTGGAGAAGGCAGGAGAAGTGAACAATCTAGGACAACATAGCTGAACTGGAAAGTGCGCTGAATTGGAGAATGTTTCCGAATCAGCTATGTTGTCCTAGATTGTTCACTTCTCCTGTCTTCTCCAAACTGCACTCTTTTGTGAATAACCCTGTATGTTTTAGCAAATTACATGACCCTCAGTTAGGGCTTAGATCTCCTTTAAGTTATAATACTGCAGCCTTACCTCTCAGGCATAAGTGTGTGGTGTTATTCACTAGCATTCTGTCCATGTCCAATCTGAAAGGTGAATACATGCAGAAATCCCATCGCACACTTACCCGGTATATCCCCTGTTGTCTCGGTGGGTGCTGTAGTGACAAGCGGGTGGTGCTGCTGGAAATAACATAGAGAGTAAGTCACCAGCACACCAAAATCTTCATCATCAAAAGGCCTTTACTGACATTTGTCTATCGTGAAATCACAGGAAAAAAGCAACGTTTTGGGACTATGTAGGGTCCCTTTATCCGGCAATGTAATAAACCGGAATCAGAAAGGTGAACAGCTGACCCTCCTTCTGCCTGAGCATCAGGCCACACACTCTGAATTGCTGATGAAGGGTAAAACTGGCAATTATCTAAGACTTTAGTTTGATTTCATGTAATCCTGACAGCACCCTGCTTATATGACATTACTTTGAGTGGCTTTTATCAGCATTGAGCTCATGCACCAAATATGCTGACCTTATGGCCTGCTGCTAAACTTGACACAAGTAAAAAATACAAAATAAGCAATCATTAAGAGGTATAATGTAAAACATTTAAGAGTGATGATTGCAATTATTATAAATTCCCAATGCGTGACTGGTTCTCCTTAAAACAGATCAAATGCAGGTCAGAAAGAGGTCAAATGCAGCAGTAAATACATTCTGAATGATCTCAGAAGTGTCTCAAACTGATGCCAATGACACAAGCCTAAAGAGCATCAGCACAGGCCCTAATAGTTCCTGTGTTTCTAGATGGCTTGTGATGTGATGGATCTGTGTGCCTACAGGAACAAATTATATAGATTTGGTGTTTTTTGAACTATGGTCACTATTTTAACTTAATTATGGTTTTATATCGCAGAGCTGCTGTGTTCCGTCTGCGGGCACTTTACAAGAGACTGGACACTGAGCTGAACAACGAGCAAGATGTGCAGTCAAAGATTGTCACTGTGCTGAAAGATAATGAGTAAGTTCCCCTGTCCACCATAGCTTATTACAGTAGACTTCATAGGAAATGCTGCAATGTAATACAGACAAATGTCTTATATCCCTCATTATACACTTAAAGGGATCTATTTATAAATCTTCCGCTTAGCCAAATGCTTGGTGAATGCCATTTGTATGGTATTCCTGCCACTAGACAGAGCTGAGGAGCAAATATATTTTCTATTTGGCAGGGATGTTGTGCAAATGGCATTCACCCAGCGTATGGCTGGGCAGAAGATTCATAAATGGACCCCAACTTGTAGGCATAGCCCAAACACACAGCATATTTATTGCTGTCTGTGTCCTATAGGGTAGATTTCCTGCCCAGGAGACTCAATAGGAAATGGGAGTAAATCTCTAGCAGGCAGCTCTGGGGTAGAGCTTATACTTCTAAAAATTTTAAATGGTTGACCGCTTTCCTTTAATTGCAACATGCTATGTTTCTTGAGTTTTTAAACCAAATTGGATCAGGATTTCCACTTGAGCTCTCATGGTGGCATATTGCGGGTTCTTGTTAATTGCTGCAGACTCTTAAGTGATTCATGTATTATTAAAGAGGATCCATTAAAATTGGTCACTGATTGCTTTGCACAGTTTCTTAGCTAACCCCCAGTGAACTGCACAGTATCCTTTGTCAGAAAGTCTACTGGACTACAAAACACCTCCTCCTTATGTTATAGAGATGAAGAAAAGTAGAGCGGACTGTAGTCGAGCAAAGGAGAACCCGAATAGGTTTGATAACACTGCTTGGGATTGTAATACAGCAGAGGCAGCGTTGTCAGCTCACTACAGGGCGATAGTAGCTCACTGGGCTTTTGTTAGGATCCTATTTTTATGTATTTCTAAACAGACGAAAACATAGGGACATATGCATGTATTGCAGAGATGTGCTGCATTTTGTTTTTATTTTGCCTAAACATAAACTTTTAAACAAAACTTCTACTATGCAGTATGTGAAAAAGAAAAATGGTGTTTAATTCAGCTTCTTTCCGTGTAATTAAATGTCCTTGTTGGACAGGTATGACCTCTGGCACGTTGATGTGGAACAGAGGAAATTTGAGGATATCCGTGAGAGGCTTGCACAGGATGAAGAAGACCTGGATAGACAGAACAAGGACTTGGCAGACCAGAGGGCGCACAGGGAGAAAATGTCACTGACTCAGACTAAGCGCAGGAAGCAGGCAGAAAAACAGTAAGTTAACAGAGAGCACGCCACAGCAGAACAACACCAGGCACTTAATTCGCACTGTATATATATATACTGTGCATATATATACAGTAGCTCACATAAGTGAGTACACCCCTCACATTTTTGTAAAATATTTTATTATATAATTTCATGTGACGACACAGAAGAAATGACACTTTGCTACAATGTAAAGTAGTGAGTGTACAGCTTGTATATCAGTGTACATTTGCTGTCCCCTCAAAATAACTCAATACACAGCCATTAATGTCAATACTGCTGGCGATAAAAGTGAGTACACCCCTAAGTGAAAATGTCCAAATTGGGCCCAATTTGCCATTTTCCCTCCCCGATGTCATGTGACTCATTAGTGTTACAAGGTCTCAGGTGTGAATGGGGAGCAGGTGTGTTAAATTTGGTGTTATCACTGTCACTCTCTCATACTGGTCACTGGAAGTTCAACATGGCACCTCATGGCAAAGAACTCTCTAAGGATCTGATGGCCTAGGCTATAAGAAGATTGCCAAGACCCTGAAACTGAGCTGCAGCACGGTGGCCAAGACCATACAGCGGTTTAACAGGACAGGTTCCACTCAGAACAGGCCTAGCCATGGTCGACCAAAGAAGTTGAGTGCATGTGCTCAGCATCATATCCAGAGGTTGTCTTTGGGAAATAGACGTATGAGTGCTGCCAGCAGGTTGAAGGGGTGGGGGGTCAGCCTGTCAGTGCTCAGACCATATGCCGCACACTGCATCAAATTGGTCTGCATGGCTGTCGTCCCAGAAGGAAGCCTCTTCTAAAGATGATGCACAAGAAAGTCCGCAAACAGTTACTGTATATAGTGCATATGCGTTTCACAACACATATTTATTTTTTGCTTCAGATAATTTTTTAATGTTTCAACAGCTACATGTATTTGAAAATGTGATTTGTGTATTTGCTTTTTACCCTTTTTATGGATTAAACTTCCATTATCTCATGCTCACAGCATTAACTTCAAATCATTGTCACAGTGGGAATACCTGCACTAGCTTCTTAAATAAAACAAGAGACAAGAAGCAGGAGCGTGCGACAGATAAACTTTATGGCTGCTTACTTAAAAGCAGCTCTGACGGTCTTATATTTAAGGCACTGTGAACAGTGGGGTGGAACGTGAGTAAAGGAGGTTGAACGTTTGTATGTTCAAATTTTTGTACGAAAAATCTCGATGGAACATCTGATAATGCCATCAGAGACTTGACAAATGTTGTTAAAATTTTGGTTTGATAATTTTTTTGGTTTAACGTTCAATTTTGGAATGAATGGAGTTTCCTGAAACGAAAACCACATTCACTGTTAGAATTACGTTTGATTGAGAAAACATTTCTAACATGCTCCTTTGACTTTTTTCCTTACTGGGATTGAAATTGATTATCAATTTGTTCAGTATACACTAGAGATGCACCGATACCGTTTTTTTTGGTATCGAGTACCGATATTTTTTTTTCAGTACTCGCCGATACCGAGTACCGGTGCCGTGTGCCCCGATTATCAGGAAGTCAGGCAGTGGATCCATCGCCCGACTTCCTGATTGCCTGTGAAGCCGGTGTTCTAGCGAAAGAACATCGGCTCCACTTGCCGAGGCTGCCTAGCTTCCTGACCAATCAGTAAGCGAGTATGAGTACCGATACAGATACTAGTATTGGTATCGCTGCATCCCTAGTATATACCCTACTTAAGTGTGCAGTGTTCAGATAACACAAGTTCAAATGGACAATTCTATGCTCACAGCTTAGCATCTTGGATGGTTTAAACATAAAACTTCCTTTTTATTGGATATAAAGTGGTGAATTTATTTCTGATGTTTCCTGATCATTTCAGGCAGGAAATGAACAAGCTGAAAGAACGGGAGCAACAGTATCGTAAAGTGGTTGCAGACGCGCAGAAGAATCATGAAAAAGCCGTTCAGTTTCTGAAGGAAACAATGACAAGGTTTTAAAGTTGTCACTATTTCTAAAATCATTTGCTCGTTGTTGCTGTGCATCTTTTTTGCCTTTTGGCTTCTCATGTATGTAAGTCTGACTATTTGGAGGCTATCAGATTCTCGAAACATCTTTAATCACATGTGACATAATGTACATATCCAGTCTTCAGTGGAAGTGGGACAGGCTCCCCTTAGGCATGGCCCTGACCCACCATGTATGCCTGTGGAAGAGAACAATTTTGTTTGAGTAGAAAGACTCCTCCCCTTATGTAAATTTTTTTAGCTGAAATTGGTGACCTTAGGATACATAGGCCACTAACATAATGCTGATGATTACTCCAATATGAATCGTTATATCCTTAACAGTATCTTTTTTCACACACTCGTTTGACAGGCTGCCCATCTGACTAGACAGCCAAGCACAACAAAGCATTGCACAATATTTTCCAGGGCATAAAGTGGATCAGGTGTGCTCATTTTCATTGCATGCACAAACTGTTGAGCATGAGCAGACGGCAGTACAGTGGCTTTGTTGTTAGCCCTTCTGCCTTGCAGCACTGGGGTCCGATGTTCCTCTAGGACACTACAGGGGTGTGGAAATTTTTTTAAAAACTACTTCTCCAAGGGCTAAAGCGGGGGCCAAATCTACTTGTCCTTCATAACAATCTACTTGTCCCAATACAAAAAAAAAATAGTTTTAATTAAAACTAGGGATGCACCAATACCGTTTTTTGGGTATAGAGTACGAGTACCGATATTTTGCTTTCGGTACTCGAGTATTGGTGCTTCCGTTTGCATGGAGCAGGCTTCCCGGGCAATCGGGAAGCCGGGCAGCGGGTAATGAGATGCTACCCGGCTTCCTGACCTGCCAGGGAAGTCGACTCCATGTTGTTTGGCCGGCTTGATTGTGAATGGCTGGGAAGTCGGTTTCCCGTACTTTACTCTGTATCTGTGCATCCCTAATCAAAACTGTATTGGTCTGTGCTAAATAGAGCTTCTCATTGGTCAGCGTGGTCCCCAGACCACGCTGACCAATGAGTGCTTGCAATTTGCGAGCGAAATTCAAAATGCATAGGGCAGGACTGCGCTGGACAGTACGGGGTAAGGACAGTACACCTGTACCGGCGGAGGGTAAGGACTGTTTGCCGAAAGGTAAGTATAGCCGGGGGGTGGGGGGTTTTGGGAGAGATAGGGGCCAGATTTGATCGGGTAATTCCATTTTCCCATATTACCTGGGAAAGTGAACTTGCCCTTTAATGCACATTGTGGGTGTGGGAGAGTTCTGCTGCCTCGCTACCACAATATGGCACAGTGAAATGGCGGCAGCACTCAACGCACACACACAATGTCCTATGCGTGCGTTTATTTGCATGCAGATGGCGGGGGCAGCGGAGTTGGTTTTCATTTTTTACATTTTTCATAACTTTTTTTTTATTTTTATTACTTTTTTTTCCCCCCCACCTAATTTTATTCCTATCACATAGGGATTTACAATCCTCTAAGTGATAGTTTGGAGGTGACAGGTTCTCTTTATGGAACCTGCCCTCCAACACAGAACATATGTTCTGTGTAGTTCCTGACAGCGGAGACAGATGGCGCTGTGATCACAGCGCCACGGTCTCAGTGATAACACAGAGCAGACGAAAAACGGACGTTTTTCGTCTGCTCTGCGTGCTCTATGGAGAGCTCATGTTTCGTGGTCTCGGGTCCGCCAGAGGAGCGGGGACCCCGAAAACCACAGGGAGGCGGTGTAGACAGAATCGCCGCTTCACGTTTCATACAAGTGATCAGATCACTTGAAAATGAGCGGCGGCTCCACACTGTACACTTAGCCCTGCTTGTCCGGAGCGGGGCTAAGTGTACAAAAAAACTACTCGCCCGGCGCCCGAGACTGCATGTCCCGGGCGTCAGGCGATAGGAATTCCACACCCCTGCACTATCTGCATGGAGTTTGCATTTTCTCCCTGTTCTTGCATGGGTTTCCTCTGTGCACCCCTGTTTCCTCCCACACTCCAAAGACACGCTGATAGGAGAACTGGCTCCTGTCAAAACTGGCACTAGTATGTGAGTGTATGTATGCATGTGAGATAGGGACTTCCATCAGTGTCCCTTCTCCAAAAGCTTTGTGTTATTTATTGGCCTCATCACAAAGTTCCAGGATGATTGATCTTTCAGGAGGCAGGGCACACCTTTACAATAAAGCTGTATCATAGATGTCAATTTTATCGGCTCCAACAGGGACTTTAGAATGGAAGCTCCTTGAAGGCAGGTGTGTAAAGTGCTGCGTATTGCCGGTGTTCTATCAAAAGCTCCGACTTGTCGAGCTCTCCGACTGGGCACCTCGTATACGGTGACTGCCAGATGGAGATGTACATCTCCTTGTCGAACTGTCTAACTATTGACACTGCACCTGCGCGGCTAGCGGCTCATCGGATTCTATAACCCAGTAAAAACGTATAATTGTCCTAGGTTATAGAAGCTGATAGCCACGCAGGTGCAGTGGCAACTGTGGTTGTAGAGAAAATCATGTGGTCGCGCAGGCACAGCTATCGGCTCATCGGCTTCTATAACCTAGGACAAATATAACTGTAGTAGGTTATAGAAGTGGATAGCCGCAGAGCCAGCTAACCCTAACCCCATAGTTCTCCTTTAAAACGTACGTTCCATTTTCATGTTAAGGTATTTAAACTGATATTTATTGGTACCAACAGAGTTCGTGAGGAAGAATCTGAAAAAGAGAAGAAAAGCAGAGAGGACATGGAGAAAAGGATGCAGGCTGTCCTGTCCCTGAAGAAGAATATATCTACAAACCGGGTACTGTAGTGGGGAGCAAAAATCACATCTCCTTCAGATAGCAGCTGGGGCTAGTTTTTTTCATGTCTAGGGGAGTGTGGTGTATTGCTGATGTACTTATGATATAATTGCATGTTCTCTGTGTTCTGTGTTGGCAGGATTTTCTTATCTCTTTATTAAGTAAAGCAACTCCTGGTGCTAAACTGAAATTGCAAATAAAAGCTCTTCCTGTAAATAAATTATTCCTTCTCCCAATGCTCACGCTGCTTTACTGAACCATCCCCTGAAGGTTCTTCAGGAGTTGCCAATTCTGGGAGTGTTGATCTCTTGCCCCCCCCCCTCTGTGCTCAGTGGTACCTCCCACCAATCTCTATGTCATGACTGGAGCCAGTGGTACATGGAGGTCGGCAAGAGGAGCCAATGAGCTCTGTGGAGAACCTTCAAGATTTCTTCTCAATGGAGTGGCACAAGCAGCAGGAGAGGAAACAAGTGCTGTCTTCAGGGTGGATTAAGGGCTTTTACTGAAGAGTGTATTCTTCTACATGTACTCCCTACAGAGTCCATATACGCCTAACAATCTTATTGTAAAATCTCTGTGCAAATGCCTTTAGATTCATGAATTCTATGTAGTTTCAGGGCCCAACTACAGTACACAATATATATCTAATCAGGCAGGCTGAACTAGGAACAATGAAATTGTTCACCTAGATTATAACATGCATGATCCCCTAAATTAGTTTACGCAAACTTCCTGTCCTTGCCACATCCAAGTAGCAGATGCAGAAATAGTGGAGTTGTTGCTCTTAGACACTATTTGGATTTCTTGTTTTATTTTCCTAGATCATGAACAGTGAAGCCTCCCTGGTTACAAGGGATTGGATATCTACTTCTTTTCTGTTTTACTTTATTCCTACTTTCATAAATCACCAGGGGCGAAGGGGGTTCTTCTCAGTTCGAGCGGTTAGGGTCTGGAACTCGTTGCCACAAGCAGTGATTTCAGCTAATAGCGTGGAATCGTTCAAGAAGCTTTTGGACGATTTCCTGAGAAATGGTAATATACAGGAGTACAATGTACAAGTACTCCTAATAACGTGATGACTCAGGGATCTTTACACACACACACACACACACACACACACACACACACACACACACACACACTAGGTTGGACTTGATGGACATGTGTCTTTATTCAACCTCAAAAACTATGTAACTATGTAACCAGAATACAATGAAATGATTTAATAATAACCGCAGCAGCTATGCACCCAGAGGGACATCTTTGCTGTTATAGGACCCAGTATAAAAGCAATGTAACAGCATAATAATGGAATGATGAGGGTTTGATCATGCAATTGTGCACATAAACAGAAAACTCCCTCATGTCATTGCCATCCATAGATACAGCAACTGTTTGTGGAGGTCAGAAACTGTATATTGCTTGTATTAAAATTGTATTGTACTTAATCTTGTACAGGAAAACCTGCGTGTCATTGAGTCTCAGAACAAAGCACAGGCAGCCATAGCAAAAAAGCAAGAGATGCTAGAAAAGGAGGAGGTGCTCGCTAAAGGTGGAGATGTTACAAAGTATGTTATCCAACAGAAGCGACTTCAGGAGTTTGAGAGAAAGAAGAAGTAAGTGTGTCTGCTTGCATATGAATAAGTTAAAAAAACACCTATAAATGTGTTTACATGTCAGCATCCCCTAAAGGGGCTTTCAGCGTTACCTATATCCCTCATTCACACGGATATGCAGAGCCATACAGCGTCTGTGCAGCAAGCTGCGTCTGGAGTACAGCTGTTGTGATCTGAACTTGTACATCTGTATAGGTACAGATACATACCCCTGGAAGTTTCCTTCCAGGAGCATACATCCTTGTGAATGAGGCCTTAGATTTTCCAAATCTCTTTTGTACCTTTTGACAGTCTTGAAGGAGAAGGGTTTTCATCTGTACCTCGCCCTTAAGCCTCCTACACACGGGCTTCAGTTTGTATAAGAGCAGTGTGTACAGCAAGCTTTTACAAAGGATTTGCAGATCTCGTGGCAAGCTTTGTTAAAGCTTTTAAAGTAACATTCAAATCCAGTTCTGGAATATTAAACTCAGATCTTAATGGGAGCGCTGATTTTCACTTTAAACAAGCTGCTAGCAGCCTTCCTTAACACATTTGTAAACCATGGGCCTGCCATTCATCAATAAGCACATAAACACCCTCTTCAAACATCTGTACTTTGTGAATGACCTACAAAATGCATATAAATACCATTGTTTTTCTTTATTAACGGTCACATGACTGATATCTCTGAGCAGTAAGGACAGAGACTAATAATGAGGCTCAACTGTACTGACAGCAGTACAGGAGCTGCTGTCAACCAACAACTACAGGCAGGACAGGAGGCACGGCTTCCTGTCTATTATACTGACTACTGTAGTCTACAGGGAAAATGCTTGTCAGCGTGGCAACGCTACCACATAAAGCACCAGATGGTTAGGTGTTGTCCTTGCAAAGCAAATAGAGGTGTGTGCTGGCAGGTTAATAGGGTATTCTGATCACTTATATGCACAATGTTGTGTAAAAGGGAATACAGGGAATGAAGCCTGGTGACTGAAGGAGACCATTAACCTGAAATGGGTCACTGGGTTCTAAAGCTTGTGGAAAGCTAATTGAAGCTTGATAGCAATTTGTTTAAAGTGACAGTTAGCACTCCCATTAAACTCTGTTTAATATTCCTAAACTGGAACTGAAAAGTTTTCAATATGCTTCACCTGAGCTGCTGAAAGCCTGCCAAAAGCTGTGCAAATGCTTAGTAGAATCTTGCTGTATACACTGTTCTTATACAAAGTGAAACCCATATGCACAAGATCTTACTGAGTACCTTTCTCTGAAATATAATAGTTGTATGCTGTTGGTGGATGGGTTGCTTCAACTACACCTGTACTGCAATGATGTGCAGTGCCTTCCGTGCTGTGACAGCTCTGGCCTCACTATGTTAGGTTACACAAGCAGCGGGCTTCCCACTGTTTGTGTAACCTAACTAGATGTGACCTAAAATCTCGATGCAGTGCCGTCTGTAATTAACAGGCAGCGATCCGTCCATGACAGGTTACACAGCGGGGAGGCTTTCCCTGCTGTGTAACCTGTTAGAAGCCGCTCTGAATGGAGAAAAAGCTGTCAGCTTCAGACTTTAAGCTGACAGCTTTTTCCTCCATAATACTAGGTGAGGCGCTGCCTCACCTGCCTCCCCTGACCGAACGTCCCTGCTGTACTGTGAGAAATATAGAGGCTGCCATTGCTGATCTCTAGAAAATAAGTAGTTATCTGGCTGTCTGTGGTTTCATTACACGGAACCACTCAACTAGAACAACTGTACGTTAGCCCTCAGAGTGAGGTCTAAACTCTTAATCTGTATATTTGTTCCAAGTCAGTGACTTGGAAAGAGTTGAAGCCAATAAATTAGTAGGTGAGCCTGGCAACTAGCATTTTTGGAAAGAAAAGCCAGCAATAATAGCCTCCATATTTCCACAGCATACATTTACTTTACAGTAAGACGAGGGCATCACGGACATCCCCTCCTTTCTGAGAGCACATATTTATTTATTTTATTTATTACAGGTATTTATATAGCGCCGACAATTTACATCCTGGCAACCTGGCAATTGACACAGCACTTTACATAGTTACATATTCAAATCAATCGCTACCCTCAAGGAGCTTACAATCTAAGGTCTCTATCTCACATACATACAGGGCCAACTTAGAGAGGAGCCAATTAACCTACTAGCATGTCTTTGGAGTGTGGGAGGAAACCGGAGTACCCGGAGGAAACCCACACCAGCACAGGGAGAGCATGCAAACTCCTTGCAGATAGTGACCTGGCTGGGATTTGAACCAGGGATCCCCAGTGCTGCAAGGCAGAAGCTAACCACTATGCCACTGTGCTGCCCACAGATGCCATTTTATGTAAACTCTCCTTGACTAGTGAGTGAATTTTTCTAGCTTCAGAATCCCATATTACTGTAACAAAGGAAGTCATTAATGGATGGATCCAATGGTTGAGATCCAAGATTATATCAACCAGCAGCAGTGGCCCTTCTGACACAACAAAGATAGATGCCAGCACACCAAGGGATCTGTAACAAGTAGTGTGAAGTTTTACTAGAACAACATACCAATAATGATGTTATTATGTGCAAATAAAGCTTAATGCTACTACGTGCTGCTGTCCACTCACATATTCCACGGCCAGGTACTGCTGCAGAAGCATGTTTTGCCTCCCTTATTTCTCTGTTGGAATTTCTGCATATGTTAGAATTAAATGAGTGACTTCAAACAGAGTAGTACAAACTAGATTTGTATTGCCTTTGTTTGAATTTTGGAGTTGTGGAGATCTGATAGGTGAACACCGCTGGACAGCAGCGGGAAGAACTTATTGTCCTGTATTCTGTATTTTAGTCCTATATGTGCCCATAATGGAGGCACTTGTCTCCTCCCACCTACAGTACTTTCCCTTTGGCTTTATTGACCAGCACTGCTAAAGTAATGGACCATAAATCAGGTTCACTATACTTAGTCTTTTTTTTTTTTTTTTTTAAACTCATTGCTTTGTATTCACCAGATAACCACCTAGTGATGAATAAGCTGTCTACATATTTCAGTAATGGAGATGGTATTTAAACTTTCCCATTCACAAACGTGAGCGGATTTCAGTGCTAGATGCAGTCCATTATAAATGTTGTATTTTTCTCTCTTTTGGCAGCCTGAACTAACTTTATTGTCGAGGGCCTTTTTTTATCTCTCAGGTTCAGGCAGTCTGGCATGTGGCATGTATTTGTCGCTAGGTATTGTTACAACATAAATTCATAATGCATTGCCAACACTGTATTAGCTTTACAGATGCATAAACCATGCAATAAAGTAATGATCGGGAATGTAAAATTTGCAACTGGGGTCATTGTGCTGGGCTCCTTACTGCTCTGTATCAATTGTAATCTATTTCAATAGTTTTATGTTATTGTTTTACGATTCACTGCACTTTGCTGTTAAAGAGATCTAGTCAGGAATTAACATTTGTAAGAATTTGAATTACTTCTCTTAAATTGTTATGCTGGTGCAGGTTTACTTTTCTGGGATAGGTGTGATTGCTGTTGTTTAAAGTGTATGGCTGGGCAAAAGAGAACACATGCAGTACATCTCTGTACTACATGCAAATTTACTCATGCTTTGTCTCTTTAAAAAGGCTGCAAGAAAATATCTGTTGAACTGCCAGAAATCCAGTGAACTCCTAGCTTCCTGTAGTAAGCTGACAGTGATACCTCCAAATTCCAGCGGTGTTGGCAGCCCTGTCTGAGCTTTCACCTTCTGGACTTCAGAGTGCCCCCTTATTTTAAAGATATATATACCATAGATGGTCTGTAGTCCAGCAGGGGAGAACTCAGGCAGGAGCAACACTGCAAGGGATTTCAGTGTGTAGGTAAAACATCTTCTGTAGTGCAGTATGTTTCATAGGAGGCACTTAGGGATGGCCATCTCTTTTTATTTTTTTTTAATGTTTTTTAATTATTACAAACTTAGCCTATTTCCCGCCTTCCATTTATCTGTAACTTAATATGCAGAAATCATCTTCTTTTATACTTACCCAACAGAGGTTCTGGGCTCCCTTCAGCTCTGCTTGAGCCACCATACTATGGTGTAGCCCTGGATTTCTGTAGAGGAAGTGCTACTGATTGGCTGCTTAGGCAGAAGCGGTCAATATTAATGATGTTGAAATTGTGGAATGCACACCAGGTGTGCATGTATTTCTGTAGAGGAAGTGCTACTGATTGGCTGCTTAGGCAGAAGCGGTCAATATTAATGATGTTGAAATTGTGGAATGCACACCAGGACCAGAGCCAGCGGAGCCCAGAACCACTGTTGGTGGAGAGGGGTGATTTTTGCACATTTAGTTGGAAGTCAGTGTGAAATGGGCTACGGAGGTTAACTGGCTTTAGGTGGGAAGAGGAGGAGACAAGGAGGACCTTCGTGCGATTTACATTGAGGAGCTGAATGACAAACGATCCTTTCATATCTAAAAGCTTTCATATTATCCCCTTGCTGTGCTTTCACATTTACAATTAAACAGCATGGAGTTTAATCTGCTTATATTTTGCCTTTCCTGATTCCTCATTTCCCTCCTCATCAACATGGTAAATACATTTTTAAATACAATTTTCAATTTTCATTGCATGTATTATTTGCGGTCCAGTGATGTAATCATTGGGTCTCTCAGCTTCTCTGTGCAATGCAGGCACGTCATGACTGGTGCAAGAAGGCAGCAGGGTGCTGTATATAGCTTCCTATGACCATGACAGCACCCTGCCTCAGTACCCTGCTCCTCTCAAGAACCCTCAGCCCTGATGCAAGCAGTGGACTGCCTTTTAGGAGGCATTATGCAAAGATCAAAATGCCTTGCTGGGAACCTAAACACATATATACAGTCCAATGAAGGCAACCTCAGTCTGGAGGAGAAAGTGTCCCTAGGTAGAATATTTATGCATGCACACTGGCCTATGTAATTCCCACATGTAATGCTGAGCCTCCATGACTCCAAGAACAGAAATCCAATGAATGAAAGGGCTGGGCCAAGGAAGGGTTAGAAAGGAAAGATGATGCTAGATGATGTTGGACGTACTCCAGCAAGGAAATTAGGCGAGCTGTGTTGGACTTGCTGCAGCTTCTAATGCACATTGTAAGGAGCTCACAGTGCACAGTGAAACCTGAGTAAGTGATTTCAGTACAGAAGAGGAGCCTGTTCAAGAATGAAGGTAAGGCTGGAGTTCACCTTTAAATAGTCTAGTCCCAAATTCAATAAAACCTCATCACGGAAAGAAAAGGGAATGGGCAGTTAGTGTCTAACAAGCCCATTCAAAGCTTGGTGTGTCCTTCATAAATGCAGGTGCTCTCTCCCTGATAGCACTATCTATTTTACCCATAGCAGCCAACCAAATTCTTTGCTGCTTTTCCAGTATAGGTGATTCTGGTTTATTTTTTAACCCACAGTAGAAAATGACCAATCTGGTGGGCGTCCCCGGCATTTTCTAGCAGATTTCATAAGTTCATATTTTACTGTTGATCTATTCCCTTCTTAGTAGGAATTAATGAGTTGGAACATTATGATGTTGAGCACTCAACTAGAGATTTTCAACCTGAGAAAATATTTATTGAACCTAAACCATGAAAACAGGAACTCCATATTTGCCACTTGCTTTTCCCCATATATTTATATATATATATATATAAATATATGTCATGCTTCAAGCAAAGCTAGTAATTTGTACATTAATGATGTTTTCACACACAGGGAATTTGAAGAGTCACAAAAATTAAGAAAGCAAGAAATTATTAGTCGGATTTTACAAGAGGAAGCCAGCCAAGCGAAACAGAAAAAACAGACCTCTTCTACAGAAATGAGCAAGAGTCAGGAAAGCATGAAACTCCGAGCCAAAACATTGCAGTATATTCAGTCAACCATGTTGACAGAGCCTGATGAGGAGCTGGTGGTTACAGTAAGTGTCCCCTTATTGCACAGCCAGCTAAAGGGTCTTTATAGCCATTGATCTGCATTTATGACCAGGGATGCTACTTTTAAATAAAATTTAAAGAACATATTCAACTAGCCATTGCTATAACAAAGATATGTATAAGAAGTTGGGGTGGAACTGTTACTAGTCTTTGCATCCACTATGAACTGGGGTGGGCTCCATAAACTGAATATGAGTTCCCCAAAAATATGTTCCAGGAGACAGTGACTATGGAAGTGGGAGGAGCAGGGACTAAGTTTAGCATTGCGTTTGCACCTCAGATGCCACCTAATATTATTACTATGCAGGATTTATATAGTGCCAGCAGTTTGCGCAGTGATTTACAAAATAAAGAAAGACAATTCAAGACTCAAGATATTCAAGATATATTGGCTACTCTACTTGAATGCCCCCTGACCCTAATGGTATAAAGTTGTATCTGGACTCTTTTAATTGGTGTGGTGCTTCAATCCCTACATCTACTGCGTTCACCAAGAAGTGTGTTTCTGGCAGGGTCACCAGGTAAATATAATAAAATAAAAATGACTGCAGCCATCACATCTAGGGACTGGTAAGCTGCAATATATTTTTCTGACACCAAACATGGCAGCATACTGATGGGTATAGCTCCGCCCCCAGCCCAATCACAGGACTGATTATACTATAAATTAAATGCGCCTCCCAAGGCAGACATTCTCCTTTTTTTCCTCAATGCTTAAGCTGGTTATGCTATTTCTAAAGGATATGTTTGATATTTACCCTCACCTTGCCAGTTTCGTCCAGCCTTTCAGCCTCTCCTTTTGCGAAGTTCCCTTTGTTCAGGTTGCTTTATAAGAGAAGCCTTCCCCCCCGAATCCTCAGAGTTTGGGGTGCAGGATATGGTCTCTTGGGGTTCTCTCAAAATGAAATAAACAAATATCTCAGCATTACCCTCCCTGGTTTTTGGCGTGCTGGCATCCCATCAGTATGCTGCCATGTTTGGCGTCAGGAAAGCGGAAAATTGTATACTTACTTATCGGCCATTTTCCTTTCCTGATTCCAATACATGGCAGCATACTGGGCCCTCCCATGGCTTTCGCATCGAGTACGAGAATGGCTGCCTTGGGAGGCGCATTTAATCTATAGTATAACCAGTCCTGTGATTGGGCGGGGGCGGAGCTATACCCATCAGTATGCTGCCATGTATTGGCTTTAGGAAAGGAAAATGACCGATAGGTAAGTATACAATTTTCCACTATATTATTTTCTTGGGTTTAGATACAGTTACATTTTTTATAAAAAAATGGATTTAGGTAATTTTGCGGTCACAAAAGTAGCCCGATCTGTTCTGTTTGAAATCACAATGAGCCACTGAGTTTTATTTTAAAGCTTACTTAATTTTTGACTCTATAAAGGCAGACATGAAATGAGGCTTCATAATATCCACTTAGTGTGCAGTTTAATTATTTTTGAACAGCAGGCCATATAGATGCTAGTTCTGATACAGACTGAATTGAGCACTGCACACATAGACTGAAAACTGCTTCTCATTTTGCATTTCAGCGAGTTTCGGTATAATTTCAGTGTAATCTTGTTATTCCACTCACTTCACTATAGGACAGATAAAGCCATGTGCAGATAAATAATCATTTCAAGCACCGTCTGCAATTAAAGCTGAACTCCAGGCAGACACAAATTGATGAAGCTTTGTATTTATTACCATGTTGTCATTTAAACGTTTTTTTATTAATTACAAGCAGTGTAAGTACCAGCCAGTCAGTGGAGCAGCAGTGCAAGAAGCATGTTGATAGCAGTAGAGAGTAGAGTAAGCTCATTAGTGTTCTGCTACTCTCAAGGTCTATTCACTGGGTAGACATAGTGGTAGAGACCTGTAAATAAATAAAACTGCAGCAGAAAAAGATCCGGCACCCTCCCCTGGCAATCAGGACTGTGCTATGTGGCGGAGCTGTGTAAAATTCAGAATTGGGTGCAAAGAAATACAAATATTTTGGCTGTTAAAGCAGCTCTCAGATATTCATTGCATATCTGTATTCAGCTGTTTGCCTGGATCTCAGCTTGAATCCCTTCATTCACATCTAAGCTACATCGAATATGTGCATTATCAACACGGTTTTGTGCGTTTTTTTTGCAAATTTTTTAAGCATGGAGATAAAGTTGCTCGTTTTTGCGAGCAGATCGTGACACATTGATGTGAATAGACAAATGCACATAAAAATGTGCAAAAACGCTTTTCAGTGTTTCCATTGAAGTCTATGGGGCCAAAAAGCGCAGAATCTGCCAAAAAGAAGCTCATGTGTTTTCTTCTAACAACGGGCGTTTTGCTACAAGTGACAAAATGCTCAGATGTGAACATGGCCATAGAAATCAATGGGGTTTTTGGGGGGTTTTTTTTAGGGGGGTTTTTTGAGCAGAAAAAGCTCTATAAAATGCTTAGTATGAGTGAGGGCTGAAGGAATCCTGTACGGAAAGAAATACATAGGATTTAAGTGATGTCCTCCATCTAATAATGGTAGTTTTCTGGCTGTTATGCCAATTTAATATTTTCAGTAGCTTATTTTCAGTAGCTTCTGAGTCTCTTTAGTGAAGGAAACTCCTGAAATGTATATTCAAAGTACTTTCATGACCAGAGGTCATTGATGCCAAATGCCAAGGCCAGATTTCGCAGTCTTGGTATGCATCAGCCAACTTTAAAATTAGGGATGCACCGATATCGGTATTTCCGTATCGAGTACAAGTAGTCCCATTCAGGAAGCCGGGCAGCGTGTAAAGACTTGCCACCAGGCTTCCCGCTTAGCAGGGAAGCCGTCCCCATGCTTCTCATCACTAGGTGACGAGAAATCATGGAGCCGGCTTTCTGGCCAATCAGGAAGCCAGGCGCTGTGTAATGACGCGGTGCCGGGCTTCCTGATTGACAGGGAAGCCAGCTCCATGCTCCCTCGTCATGAGGTGACGAGGGCGCAGGAAGCCAGCTTCCCGACCAATCAGAAAGCCGGGCGCCACATCATTACACGCTGCCCGGCTTCCTGATTGGCCGGGGAAGCCGGCTCCATACTCTCTCGTCACAAGTGACAAGAGAGCATGGAGCCATCTTCCCGGCCAATCAGGAAGCCGGGCAGCGTGTAATGACGCGTTGCCCGGCTTCCTGATAACGGAAGTATCGTGCTAGCCATCGCTGCATTTGGGCAAGTACGAGTACTTGCCCAAATAGTCGGCATCGGTACCGATATTAGTATCGGTATCGGTGCATCCCTACTTAAAATGAAAGATTAATTTGCATACCAAAATTATGTTTGATATATTTTTTTAAAGGACATATAAGGCTTCTGTTTGGTGCACTGTTTTCATAAAAACTCTGCTCTGTTTTTTAAAGGAGAACTATGAGGTGAGTGATTTACACTCATCCTCATAGTTAGAGCCGACGTGTGACAATGAAACTGTCACATATCGACTCTGTTGATCGGGAAGTGAGAGAATACATACCGTCGCTTGCTCACTTTTCCGATCATATCCCTGTGGTAAACAGTGAATGTCGGTCACCGCTCCCCGCAGATCCAGACAGTATTGTCGGGATCCGTCTGGGCTGCAGCGCTCTCAGTATATAGCAGGCAATGGTCCGCTATATACTGAACTTTGGGTCACGGGAGGAGGTTAGTATATGTCCTCCGGTGACCCTAAAGAGAACTATGGGATAAAAAGGTTACCCCACAGTTCTCTTTTAATTAAAAATAAAAAAAATAAAAATAAACTAACAGGGCTTAGAGCTACAAAGAAAAAGTTCTAAGTAACTGTGATAACATTTTCTTCTGTCATTATTATTGGGATCTTTTTAAGATTGAAAAAGCCCTTTTCCATGTAATTTACCTTTTTTTTCCTATCCAGTCTTCTACTCATCCTGTGCTCTGCCCTTTTTGTATCTCTGTTTTTTTGACTGCTGATGAACACTTTTCACTTGTCTGTTAAACACTTATTTGACTTTAATAGTTGCGAATTGTAACGTTCTGGTTTTCTATTGCCTGCAGCAGACGTGGAGGTCTCCATCTCCTTTGTCATCTGATGAAGAAGAAAACTTCTCAATTCAGGAGTATCCTGGTGTAGCACAGGAGATAGCTCATGTACTAAAAGAGGAAAGTGAGAGTCTTTCTAAGCCAGAGTTCATGGGATTATGGAATCAAGACTACAAGCCCTATAAGGTAATTGTGGGTGATGGTGGTGAGTGAAGGTGCTGGATATGGAACCAGCCTTACATATTAGCATTCTGTGAAGTGAAGCTGTGTTTAGAAATTGCCCTTTTGCCTCTTAAAAGATATAGAGAGAGCAACATAGCAGCTGACTATCCACATGTAAATGATTCTACACAATACCATTGATTGTCTCTAGATTGCTGTCCAACCCACTATTGATTCTGAGAAATGAAACAATATTTTACAAAACAGATTTAAGATGTGTTCAGACGCTACTAACAATATCCACTAATTGGTTGTGCAAACTCAATGATCTCAGTGACAGAACAAACATACAGGGGCAGAAAATTGGTGATGTCTGTACTGTCCCCAACGCCAACAAACAGGAAATTGCACATGAAAGTAAACCTTTCTTCTGGCCTTCTTTGAGTGTAGGACTGTGAAAAATTAGGAAAGTTGCACATTTAAGGTCTTTTTTAGATGTTGTTATCAAAGATTTAACCCCACAGTCACAGTGTGCTTTGAGGAGTTTATTGCCAATAAATCAAATGAGGAGCTAGAAACTGACCAGATCCAAAGAGCCCTGGGCACCAAAACAACTGATAGGCAGTCTAGAGACAAAGTAGTCACAATGACTTACTTTCACATCAAATGACATATATTGTAAGCTACAAGATCTAACTTTAGACTTGTTTTCCAGTCTGATCCCTACCAGATTTTGCATGCTATGTCTCTTTTCACCATTTGAAGGGGCAGAGTTCTCAAATCGCATCAACCACACATGGGAAATCCAGGTTAAGTTGTCCTACAACTACAGTAATCAGTCAGACTTTGCTTCAATATCATAGATCCTCAAAACCACTTTGGAATCCCTATACCTGATAACACCCTGGCCAATAGTCAATTATCTGCTCGAAGCCTGGGCACTTTTTGGGGGAAGATTTCATGATAATGCCTGATCCAATTGTTCTATGCTGTCCACAAGTTGACATCCTCCTGTCAGAAGTGTAGTGAGTGGAAGACAGGTCGGAACCAAACAGACAGTCAGAGCCGAATCAGGAAGCATGAGAATAGTCAGACAGGCCAGGGTCAAAGGGCAGGCAGCAGACAACAGGAAACAGGAACAAGCTGGGTCAATACAGGAGTCAGATGCAGGAACACAGTTACAGGTACAGCTGAAGATCTTCCAGCAACTAGCAGTTGCTGCTCAGTGTTTAAATAGGCTGACTGGCGCCAATAGGTGTAATGGGAGCATGCGTGTGCACACCTGCACGCCGCGCCTGACGTACCACAATGCGTCCATGCACATATGCCTCTAATCGGTTACTATGCGCGTGTCCACGCGCCACAGCGTGTGCAATAACTCAGACCGTTCTCGTGCTATGGGCAGTAGCCCTAGGTTCCTGACAATAGTAGGGAGAAGATCTTTCTAGGAGACGCAGTAATCCAGCCAGCAGGTGATTAAAGCCAAACTAACCCATCACAAAGACGGAAATGTCAATTTAGGTGGAAATGTCCTTTATTTGTATATATTAATCATGTCATAGTAATTACTATCGCTGCGTGTCTGTGTAACACCTGTGAATGGTAATCTTATAGCAATATTTAGTCTGGTTGTTTTGCTGCAGAAGCTTCCTTAGTTGTTTGTGTTCTGCTGTTTACTTCTGAGCTCTGATCAGATCTGACTGGCTAGAGTAGAAAACCCTTGATATCTGTCTATACACTGATTCCCCACACAGAGGTGATTATCCTTTGCCATGTCCTTCTGTCTTCCCTGGGCTCTGTCCTCCCTCCTCCTCTGTTCTGTCCTCAGCCACACATCACATTGTGTTTGTTTGGCTCATGTGATATACATAACTGAACATGACAGGCGTGCTGGTGAATTTGAATTCCCTTCACGTAGGTATTTGCAATTCTATGAGCCTGCGGTATTTAATTAATTTTTTCTTCCTTCGCGTTTATCAGCCCATATTGACTATTTAAATTTGCACGCTGCCCAAATCACTGTCTGGGCTCAGTAGGTTTATTGAAATGTTAGTGCTATTATGTTCCATCTTCGGCATGGGAATACCTTAGAAATTGGTAAGGTTCCTACAAATGCGTTGCTTCTGTTTGTGTCCGGACATTTATACTTGGAGCTGCTTGCACACATCGGTTTCCATGTAGCATTTTTGTTATTAAAATAAAATAGAGATGATGCATTTTGTTTGGAAAGTCTTCTCCAATAATAATAGAGACAATAAGGCTTTTTTGTACATAGCCTGCATATTATATCAACAGGGTTGTTTTTTTAAAGGGATTTCTGCTTCTAAGAGACGGACTGCCTCAACATAAATGCAACTCCCACATTAGCTTTCCCCCTACATCATATTGCAGAACTACTACACCATTTCTTGCCTGAAAGTGCTATGAGAAGCTGGACAGGCCATCAACGATTGCACGTGATAGCCAATCCCGGGCAGGCTACCTGTTGTCTCCAGATCCAGCTAATCACAAAGTTTCCTGGTTAGTTGATGTATGATATACCTTGATACACCTTAGTAACTGTGCTGGGGGTGTCACTTTGTAGGTAGCCAATAAACCATACTGTAAGGCCATAACCAGGAGCTCGCGCGCTACTGCGCATGCACGGGTCCCAGTCTTCCGGGTTGCCGGAATGTGGCGCACAGGAAGTGACACAGTGGCACACAGGAAGTGACTCACTGCCCTCTAATAGATGTTCCTATTTAAACCAGCTGACCCAACGGGTCAGTGCTGAACGGTCATTCAGCTCGTGCTTGTGTTCCTGCTGATCTGTTGCCTGTTACCTCGACCCAGATTGCTGCTGACTTCAACTGATTGCTGCCTGCCCCTGACCTCTGTTTGTTATCTGGAATCTGCCTCTGCCTGCTCCTTCTGTACCGTGTGCTGACCGTCTGGCTTGATCTCTGGCTTGTTTGACCTCGCTCCAGTTACTGCTGCAAACCTCGCTGACATCACAGCTGTGCACCAGCCCTGCTCATCCTTCCAGGGATCCAGTTGCCAGACTTCTAGCAGGCACTGTGTCTGAACACTTTGGCACCCATGCTTCTCAGTCTACTCGCTCCCTGTTTCCACATCCAGGGGTGTGAGACCAGAGCAGCAAGGGAGGCCTCCTCAGCTAATCGGTCCTCCACCAGGTACGTGATACATACAACAAAACTATGAACTGTTCACATGGCCTGAATCCATTGATGCCTGATAGGTGGGCTGTTTCCTGGCTTTTTATCTTGTAGCAAGGTCCTTAGAAACCAGTCTAATGACCCATAAAACTGCAAACAGGCAAAGCCACCCAACACTATATAAAAAAAACATACCCTGTTACTTTCTGCATTCGTCTTTCTGCTTATTATTCTTTCTTTTTATCTATAGGTGCCAAAAGAAGAAGAAACTAAGCCTATAGGTGGCAGTAAAATGGAAAAGGACATTATGGCAGAGTCTTTGAGGAAGCTTCGGAGTGGAATAGTTCAAAAGCAAGTGGTTTCAGGCCATGAATTTAAGGGCTGCCCATTTTATAGTAAACCAAAGGTTATTCATTTTAAGGTGAGTGCTGTAACATGGGAAGCATAGTCTGAAAGTCAGCTTGTAGTGCTTGGTAAAGCTACTTGGGAAGAAGTAATTTGCGCTGTTTTGTTGAAGGCAGCCATTCTGAGCATAACATCACCTTGTATAAGAATGTGGCCGTGGTTGCTTTTTTTACAAATTTTATTTCCTGTATTTATATTGGTGACATGTTACACAGCGCTCCATAGAGAACATATAAGGAGTCAAATGGATATTTACCACTGCAGGCACGACACTCCAAAACACTGTTATCATATTAGGACACAGACTTCATTGCCAACAACCAACGGATGTAACGCTACCAAAGCCCTAACAAAATGTGTTGGCTATGTTTTCTTTCATACACTAATAAAATGGTATTTGTTCTTCAACTGGCTATGGAGTTTCCAAGACTTTCTATTCATGCACGCCACTCCTCACCCACCTTTACAATCTCCACATGCTGGAAGGGACCCACTCCTTGAAGCCTTCATGAGTCGAGCCACCACAGACCTACCCTCCACCCACACCACACACATAGCATACACTTTGCACACAGCACTAAAGATGTAGGCAGAGGACGTTCTTAGGAGATGACTGAGTAGCATCAAGTGTGCTAGGCAGATAAGTCCCAAAATAAACAAATGAAAGCAGTAAGCTGAACAAATAGCGATACTCCCAAAACGTTAAAATATTGTCTTCATGTACCCCTCTGTATCCATTGCCATTAACATGGGAAACCCCTTTAAGATTATTATTCATGAGGGGACTTGAGTTTTATTCTTAGCAATAAATTATTCCATTTTCAAATTGAAATTTTAGGACCTTGATGTGGGTAAGACGTATAAGAAAAAAGTCACTTTGACAAACACATCAAATACAATAAATTTCTGCAAACTGGTGGAAGTGAGTGATAACCTGAAGGACTTCATCACTATTCAGTAAGTAATTAATTGATAAGATTTATTAAAAATTTGAAATGGATGCAACAATATCATCTGCTATCAAACGTTTCTACCTGTTTGCCAACTTTATTTGTGTATTGGTAAAATGTGTCCATTAGTATTTTTATATTTTTTAGAAATTTTTAAAAAGGTGAGGTTTTAGATAGCAGGAAGTGGAACATCTATAATGTTTTTATTCCTATCCCTGTCTGTGCTCTGAAGATTCACCCCTAATTGTCCTGGTGACCATTGGCTCCAGTACATAGTGATGGGAATTTCAAAATCCCATCAACAGTAGTTGAGGGGAAGTATTTCAAAGAAGACACCTGACACAGTGTCAGCCGTCTAAGAGGGCATCTCCTCTTACTTCTGTGTCTCTGGTACCGGAAGTAAAGATAAATTGCCCCAAAGGGACACAGTCAACAACAACAACGAAATCCCTACGTGATCCAAAACTAAAAAAAATGTTTTGGCTTTACCAACACTTTTTTAGTTTATCTTTGTCTATCACCGTAAAACATAAGCTGCTTCAGAGCCTGACAGAAGACATGGAACTGTCTGTGACAGTGAAGGGTGAGTGATGGGTAAAGAATGCTACATTTCATGAGCTAGTGGAACCAACATGTCACATTACAGGATTAGATTACCAGATAATGTTTCTCTAGCTTGCAGGTGGCTTGGCATGAATGTAAAGATGTGACATGAAAAGCAATGAGGCTCCAGTGAATCTTGTTCTGAGATTTAACATGTTATATATTTAGAATGTTTATGTTGTATTTACTAGCATGCATAGATAAATGTTTACTTATAAAGCCATTACGTTTTGTATAAAAGGAACCCTTTAGGATCATTTTATGGAAGCTACCGTTGCTGACTTGTTTTTAAAAGGGCAGATTCCCAAGCTGTCATCCTGTTCTTGCTTCACCACCTAGGGAGTCACTGACTTGGAAAAAAATATGTTCTGACACTCCATCGGCTACATTCTTGTTTTGGGTGAGAGCAGAGAAGCCATGTTCACTATGACAGCTGCAGAGTTTGAATTCTTAAAAACAAGAAGCTATCATATTTGCATCCTAATGAGTTTGCTTTAAATGAAGCCTGCCTTGAGAGAAGTACAGGAGCTGGCAATGCTGACCCCCTTCTAAAGGTGGGCTCTGATCCCCCTCTAAAGGTGGGTCGCTGACCCCCTTCTAAAGATAGGCTCTGACCCCCCTCTAAAGGTTGGTCACTGACCCCCTTCTAAAGGTGGGTCACTGACCCAGGGCAAATTAAGTCAGGTCTCCTGATCTAAATGCCTATGTGTTGGTCCCGACCTAAATGAAAACAGATTCTCTATAAGGCTGGTCATAAACGTAACAGGGTATTTAGACATGCAGACAATAATCTACTGCTCTCATGAAGATAGAACTACAGAGCAGGGCACAGTGAATAGGGGAGTGTGAGCTAGCTCTGACGTAACAGTGTTAGGAGCTAATCTGAGCAGTTTTTCGAGCCTGTTCAATCAATTGTTCCTTCTGCTTATCATAAGGAGTCCTATTGTGTACTTGCATAAAACAAACTATAGTATCCCTTAAAAAAGACATTGACACTTTGGCCATTCAAGGCAGAGTAACAGAGACCCACTTACACTTACTTCTCTGTGTTCTCCCGCTCCATGACAGATGGTGCTGGAGCTTACACAGGGTTGATGATGTCAGCCTGTCCTGTATGTGACAGTATTTGGGCCTGGCAATTGTCCGCTTAAGCCAGAGCACTTCATTCTCAGAGGAGGTCACATGCTCCCCTATGGCTGGAAGTGACTTGTATAAAGCAACAGCACTTCCAGCCATAGTGAACCTGACAACCGTGCAGTGAAAAGGGAAATTAAATTAGGTGGGTTGGGGGGTGGGCTATTACCAGACTTAGTGCAAAGTGATGAAGTGGTTTCTACCTAAAATTGTCCCAAGAGTTCATGTGTGATTGTATGCATATTTGGTACATAAAAGCTCTTTTATAAGCACAAACTAAAGTGAATGGTCCATATTTTCTGTAGGTCTTGCAGAATGTGTTCATGCGTTGTAGGTGACTAACTTAAACACAAATCACTCTTATAGGATATTTGCCACAACACAAAATTAATCACATTTGGGGGGTTTTAGTAAGAATCCACTTCCTTTTTGATTCTCAGCTGAAGTTGATTATTTGAGCACAATGTAGACAGATGGTTGAGGATTGTAGCATGTCCTTAAAAAACACTCACAGCTCAGTGCTCTATGCACAGTGTGCCAAAAACTCATCCCTGTAGTTGAAACTCTCATTTGCTCCATATAAAGTGTCCTAATTACTCGAGTCTGGATTTACGATCCTACTGCAAATCACAGATTAGATATTCAACAGCCAGCAAATTAAAGAACACGTCTGTATTTCATCATAAGATTGTCAAATCAGTAAAGTATTACGTGACTATAGCCAGGCTCATAGTAAAGTTCAATAAAAGCATTCCGTTTAGAAAATGTTCCTATAGAAAATAGCTCCAGGTAGGTCTCACGGGGTATTAATTAACTGTTTCAACAACAACTCTGGATTAAAATAGAATTCAAAATATCTGAACCGTCAAAGTTGACAAAATGACCCTTCTTTATTTATTTATTTATTTTCTCTATCATCCATTGAGGGAAGTAGCTTCAGATCAGGATACCATAGGTTTATACTGCAGCCTACTGTAGAAATGAACACTGGGCACATATAAAAAAAAGCACAGCCCGTAGAGGCTATAATCCCTTCCATATACTTCCTGCCCATTTTCACTTGGTGTTCTCAAGAAGAGTAGATATATTTATCTAGTCAGCTTTGCTGTCTTTATCCTTTAGAAGATGTTCTACTATCACGTGGTGCTGGTAGAGTCAAGCTGGATATTGGAAATCCTGGAGTCTCTCCACCCAGCCAACGAGTTCAGGTTTTCCCAATTCCTTAAGTATAGTGGTGTTCTCTCTGTGACAGCCCTGCAGTGGCATTCCTGTCAGTGCAGATCACAAGACCCTGCTCTGAGGTCAGGCCAGTATACCTGGGGATTCTCTGCAGAGGTCAGTCTGACAGAACTAGGTCCATGGCAGTGCTTTAGCTTGACCCAAGCTTTGAAGACTCACTTGCTTAGTGAGTGTTGTGGCACTGGATAACCTGTTGTGTAGTGGAATCCCTACTCCTTGTTTGTGCATGATCTGCTTTGTAGCACCTGGGAGCAGAATGCATGCTTTTTTAATTTATGTTATTCATCTATATATGGAGTACCCTTAGGAGCCATTGGATTGCTGTCACCAGATTGAACAGGGGACTGGCAGACCACTTGTAAAAAATAGAAAAAGAAAAGGGAAGCTAAATAGAAAGTGCCACTGTAGTGGCATTTCTGGTTTTGTGATGGCAAACACATTCTGGTAACTTCAAGGTGTAAAAGTACTTAAACTTAATTTTGTCTTTTTCAGATTTGACCCACCTGGACAAATGTCTGCTGGAATGTCATGTGACATGGTGGTTACATTTAAACCAATGGTAAGATAACCAGATGATAGATGATTGTATAGACCAGGGGTGTCAAACCCAACCTTACGAAAGCCATGACAAGGGTTGTGAATAAGATCAGGGACCGGAAATAAAGAAGAAAAAAAACCCAACACTGCTGCTTGCCGATCAGACACCTTGCACTCAGCAACTTTAAAGGGGGGTCCTGGTCTACCTGTGGATGTATTGTATCAAACCTCTTAATAATGTTTCCAAATTCTGGAAACAAGCAGTTTTTAAAGGGAATCTGCCATTGCTGACATCTTTTTTAAAAAGTTAGCTACTTTGCTCTGTCTGGCTGCAGTAGTTTCTGAGCCAATGGAACAAGCATGCAGGCCAGAAAAGTCATAATGAAGTCAGAAAGCCTAATTTGCATATTAGCTTCAGTCCAGCAACTCTTAAAATACTGCAAATACTGATTTAGCGTGACAGACAGGCAACTAACATTTTCAGGAGGAGAGTTACTTCCTCAGTAAAGTATACAGATTGAGACCCCTGGGCTAAATCAAGCAAGCGGGACTGAGAGCAGAGGTCTCCAGAAATACAATCAAAATCACCTTTTGCCAATGGCTTAAAGGAGATTGTCCCTGGTAGCTTAATATTGGCCTTATTTTAGATTCAGTGTGTGTTTTTGAGACCTAGATTTTGCAGTAAGGAACCAGAAATCCAGATGTTGGTGAGGGCAAATCCAGATAGTAAATGAGTTTAAGAAATGTGGTCCATCTCCTGCAAGCAAAAGCAGCCATTCATTAGTGAATTATAAATTCTATTTTTTTAATCTGATACCCTAGTAATGCTAAACTCAAGCCAAAACGTTATTTAGTTTTGGCAAGGGTTAGAACTTTAGTCAGGTTTCAACTGCTGTGTCTCCATTGTGGAGATTTACAATCACTTCCTGTCACTGTGACACCTGGACACAAAATGAGGGGAATGGCTATTACCAACACAGGAAGACACAAAAAGCATTAAATATTGACAGATATTCTTCCTCTGCCTTTTTGTTCCTCGCTCACACAAGTCGGACACCTCAGTCCGTACCAACTAGAAGCTGCACACCAGACAAACACTACCCAAACCCTTTTTCCCATTACACCTGCCCCTTCCCCCACCCCCGGAGAGCGCTGTACCAGTGGACTTCATCTTCTAAACTTTCCAATAGATTGGACAGAGACAGTTGATCTCTGATTGGTTGTGGTTGCTTTAAACCATTATGTTTTGCACTTTATATTTTAGAAATATCTAAACATTTTCAGTCAGTGCTTTGCTAGGTTATTATGATTATAATTGGGGTATCTAGTAATTCTAATATCTGTGGTTGAACTCTTTGTTTTGTTTTGTTTTGTTAGTGCTGCTGTGTGCTGTAATGAGTCTCATTAATTTATTCTGCAGATTGATGAAGATCTCGACGGCGAAGTGAAGTTCCTGGCGCAGACAGGTCCTTTCGCAGTTCCTGTAAAGTGTACCACTAAGAAGTGTGAGGTAATGCACAGAAGACCTCCTCTACTGTACTGGGATTAATATGTATTGAGAAGGTGTGGAATGTTTGGCTGGCATTATTGATTGCAAAGAAGAGTTTTGCAAACTGTAAGCCAACTTTCCTGTCAGTACGCTGTTTTTTGGGGTTCCCCCCCCAACTACAAATTAGGTAGAAGAACATGCTTTTAGCCCTAACCTCAACCTAGCCCTTCTTCTGACCTTAATGCTTAGTCCTTCCTACATCAAGCTATAGTTGCCACCATTTGGTCCATAGAGTATAGCTCTATGATTGTTCCAAGCATGTTTGAATCCACTTACTGTTAACTGAGTTACTACATCTACCGGAAGCCTGTTCCAAGCATCAACTACTCTTTCTGTAAAATAATACTTACAAAGGTTAGTTTTAAGATTAGTCCTCCAGTCTCTCCTGGTGTGTTTGATCTCTCAGACCTTTCACTATATTTGTTGCCCGTCTTGAGGGTCTTTCTGTCTTACCAATATATTTTTGTAAGTGAGTTTCCCACAATGGGACACCATAGTCTAAATGAGGTCTAACTTAAGATCTATATAAGGGAATCAGGACCTCCTTCCTCCTGCTGGTGATCCCTCTAGAGATGCAGCCCAGAATTCTATTTGGTTTCCCCACTGTCAGGCTGCAGTCTTTGGTCATTTAAAAAATTATCTGAAATAAGCACCACCGAATCTTTTTACTCTGTAAATCTGTACCCCCAATATTGTACCCTGTCAGACATTACATTTCCCCAAATGCCTAATTTTGCATTTAGAAATGTTGAACCTCCGTTTCCACTGCTTTGACCAATCTTCTAGCAAGGCCAATTCGTGTTCCATGTTAAAAACACCTCCAGGAATATCAGCCATGTTGCACACCTGTGTAACACCATTCATCTTCTAATAGTAGCTGTGCACAGAGGCTTTTATATCCTTTTTGTAGCTCCTTATCTGCTCTCTCTAGCATTCCCCAGATAGCAGCTGTGAAGTTTCTTGGGAGAATGTATCAAAACTGGAGCAGACAGAATCTGGTGCAGTTGCCCATGGCAATCAGTTTGCTCCGGTAAGATTTGAAAATGAGACAGAGAAGAAGATTGGTTGCTGTGGAAATCTGCTCCAAAATTTGTCTGCTCCAGTTTTGATAAATTCCCCTCTCTGTGTAAAAACTGCTTTACTTTACTGACTTTAATTTTATTTTCCTTCATCCCTTCTTTTTCTATTATTATTTTTCTCTTTAGGCTGACCTAATAGATCCAACTAATTAAGATAGGGGCTATGATGATGTTGTATTGAGAAAGACTGTGTAAAAATTAACTTTAAAATGAAATCTGATTTTCAGAGTGAGTTTTTACAATCTGGTACAGATGCTTCATAGCTGTGGCATAAGAAATGGAACAACATCTATGCATAGACTCCCCGTGTTTAGCTTTTTTTTTTTTTAGAGGAGGAGACTTGCCACAGGACAAAAAAATAATAATTATTACATTTCTAACCCTTTTTTTTTATGTTTTTGTTTTAACATTTTTCTCGCCGTTTAGTGAACAATCGATGGTTCCAAGGGCCCTCATTCTAAGTTCAGTGGGACAGAGGGTAGGTAGTATGCTCCTCCAACATTCATGCAGCTTGTTCTGAGGCAAGCATTTTATGAATATCTCCCAACCATTGAGATTCCATACTTCTGGAATACCAACCCAATGTTGAGGAACATGTGTGTTGGAATGAGTATAGTAGAGCGCTGCGCCCTTGCCAGGCCTTTGACTTATTAGTGTGAACAGTGTTCTTAGCTAGTATTTCGGAAGAGGAAGGCCGTGATTAATTTTTTTGTTTCACAATAGAATAACCACAACACAGGATCAGCACTGGAGAGCTCCTAACATGCCAGATTTAACTGATTTGAACAGTCTTCTCTTGGAATGAACAGCTAACTCAGATTTGCCATTAGGACTGCTTAAAAGTATTGCTGACCATGTAATTTTTCTTTAGCTATTATTAGGGATGCACTGATACCGATACTAGTATCAGTGCCGATGCAGAGTATATGGGCGAGTACTCGTACTCGCCCAAATGCTCCGATGCCTAGCCCGATACTTCCGGTATCAGGAAGCCGGGCAGTGCGTCATTACACGCTGCCCGGCTTCCTGATTGTGATGACAGAGCATGGAGCCGGCTTCCCGGCCAATCAGGAAGCGGGGCAGCGTGTACTGACGTGCTGCCCGGCTTCCTGATTGGCCGGAAGCTGGCCAATCAGGAAGCCATGCGCTGTGTAATGACACAGCGCCCGGCTTTCTGATTGGCCAGGAAGCCGGCTTCATGCTCCCTCGGCACCTTACAAGGGAGCATGGAGCTGGCTTCCCGGCCAATCAGGAAGCCGGGCGCGCGTCATTACACGGCGCCCGGCTTCCTGATTGACCAGAAAGCCGGCTCCATAATTTCTCGTCACCTAGTGATGAGAAGCATGGGGACGGCTTCCCTGCTACTCGGGAAGCCCGGTGGCAAGTCTTTACATGCTGCCCAGCTTCCCGGGTAATCAGGAAGCCAGGTGGCAAGTCATTACACGCCGCCTGGCTTCCTAAATGGGACTTTCGGCATTCGGTGCATATCTAGTTATTATATTTAAGAATGAAATGTGTAATGCTGAGCACTTTTTACAAGCAGGAATATTAAATTGCAAATGTACCGAGGAACTTACAATTCTCAGAATAGTAGGAATCAAGTGTATTATTTATCTGACTGGTAGCTAGCTGTACGTTACAGAACTTTCAGCTGTGTTTACTGTGTTGTTAAGTAAGACTTTAAATAGGACATTAGGGGATTTAAAATTACATATCCACCCTGCCTTAAATCCTTGAGACTCATCTCATGTTGATCTCTTAGAAATACATACAGAAAAGGCTTTTTTTCTACATTATAGAGGAATGCCTGTCTGGGGTGAGACTGTTCATATGCTTGCTATTATTCAGGATATCTGTGTACATTCTTGTTTTAAATCAGGTTTATTGGTGTGGTGAGCCACTAATAAACAAAGTCATTTGGTATTAGACCTGTGAAATAAAATGAACGGTTAAAAGGGGAATAACATTGTCATATTTTATGTTCTCCATAAAGATAATTAGTCTGCCGGTTTTATCCAGCATCAGTGTCTGAATATTAATGATAACCTTAATCAGTGCTGACCAAAACCATTTCTTACAGCTGGCCCTGGATAAGGAATACATTGACTTCGGCACGTATGTCATTGGAGAAATGGTGACACTGATGGTGACATTAACAAACCGAGGAGCTCTCGGGACAAATTTCCGTGTTAGGCCATTGACTCAGGCTAACAACATAAGGAAGACACCTGTAGAGGTCCTCTCTAAGCAAATGGTAAGTAATTAATAAAGTATTAGAGCAGCTGCGAGCAAGAAGTAAAATCATTCACCGAACTGCTTATGCAATCCGCTCACTTTACTGCAGTTTGTGTTTTGTATATATGTAATCTCTTATTAATCTCTAATGCATCCAAATTAAGCAGGGCTTTCCGACGGCATCAGCACCACACAGTGGTCTCTTGCTAGTTATTCTCTGCTATGTAACCTCTCTGGTTCCAGCCATATAAACTTGCAGTAATTTGACTTGCAGTAATGTGTGGTAAAACATACATTTTACCAGAAAGTAGAGTAACACACATTGCAGTGCCATTCGTTGAATTGCATGGCACCCCAACCCTCATCCCCAAGGCACCACAAACGACCTACATTCTAGTGCACTCTAATGCACACAGGTAGACTGTGTGCATTTGTAGAAAGTAATTTGTTGTGCGTTTAGCATGAGACTCGTTAATGAATCGATGTACCCAAGAAGAGGGATATGACTTAAAGATCCAAATTTTAGAGACAGCTGTTAGCGGGGGTATCTTTGGGGGCCCCCAGAGTAGTCTAAACAATGTAAGAAGGATGACAGGGTCAAAGATATATTGTGGTCCAGTAAATCTTTAATGCAGACATTAGAGTCGCAAGAAAAATAAAAAGCCAAAGGAAGTCACTTCCTGTTATGTGCAATAGAAATTTACTAGACTCACATTATATCTTTGGTGCTCTTGTCCTTCCGACATTCTTTTTTTGTGCTTCAGAAGCCCTTATTAAATAATAGGTTGCTTTATCACAACTAAAGTTAATATGTATGTGGTAATACTGCAGATGTCTAAATCTGGTCTCCAAAAGACTGCCATCATGAAGAAATTAGGGTGTGGTGTGATGTTGGGGAGCTCACACTCGCAGCACTCACACAGGGGGTTTTGCATAAAACAAAAGCTTTTACTTTGCTCTTGCAGAGCAGCCAAAAAATGGTAAACACAAATACATGCTTATCTTCAGTAAACTCAAAGCAAAAGTCCAAATCTTCGGCACAGATAACAAAACATAAATGTGTCTCACCATTATCTTTGGGGGCCCCCAGAGTAGTCTAAACAATGTAAGAAGGATGACAGGGTCAAAGATATATTGTGGTCCAGTAAATCTTTAATGCAGACATTAGAGTCGCAAGAAAAATAAAAAGCCAAAGGAAGTCACTTCCTGTTATGTGCAATAGAAATTTACTAGACTCACATTATATCTTTGGTGCTCTTGTCCTTCCGACATTCTTTTTTTGTGCTTCAGAAGCCCTTATTAAATAATAGGTTGCTTTATCACAACTAAAGTTAATATGTATGTGGTAATACTGCAGATGTCTAAATCTGGTCTCCAAAAGACTGCCATCATGAAGAAATTAGGGTGTGGTGTGATGTTGGGGAGCTCACACTCGCAGCACTCACACAGGGGGTTTTGCATAAAACAAAAGCTTTTACTTTGCTCTTGCAGAGCAGCCAAAAAATGGTAAACACAAATACATGCTTATCTTCAGCAAACTCAAAGCAAAAGTCCAAATCTTCGGCACAGATAACAAAACATAAATGTGTCTCACCAACTTGTTGTAGAAACATCCCAAACCTGGGGAAATCCCTTCCCACGAATATAAGTACTGCAGCACAGCAATACAGCAACACAGCAATACAGCAGGTCTCTCTCACTAGCCACAGCTGATTACTTTCTCCTCAACTCCCAAACTCCTCTCTGGGAGTTGCAGACCTTTAAACCCCTTCCTGTGGCATGACGGTTAACCCTCTGGTGGCCCTTAAAGGGACCACAACTCAAACAGTGGTGATGTATACCTGCCTTCCAGGACCCAGCCTTGCCGTCCTCTACAGCGGATACTTTCTGGATGATTGATGCATATCTAAGTTGGGGCTTTCTTTAAGTGCACATCTTATGGCGTTCACATGAAGGGCCTATTCCATACAAAACACATGCATGAGATTTCACTTCCAAGTTATGAGTAAATTTGGTATTTAAAATTTTAATGTAAGCAGCAATAAAGTTTATTTTTGGAATTTACAGATAACTCCAGTTTCCCCTGAACACATCTCTAGAGACACAAATACTTCTGTTTCCATGGATTCCACAAAGCAGGAACATTTAGAAGCTTTAGAGTGTAACCAAACAGAGCCAGCAATAGAAGAAACAACCCCTCCAGATGAGGAAACTGAAAGTTCCAAGCTACAAACAGAAGCAAGCATAGGTATGATAAATTCCAATTGGCAGCTGCTTTCCAGATAAGCAATATAGGTATGCAGGAGGGGACCTAATAGTGTAGAACGTTGTAGGATTTAAATAAATATACATACAACATTTGTAAACTGATATGATTAATGCCCAACTCCAGGCAAAAAATTTATTTTAGTTTTGGACAGAGTGAGGAAGGGATAGAATCTCTCATGTTTTATTGCTGCCTGTGCTTCCACTTGAGAAGATTTCTATTTAATTCCCGTGCCAGTGACACCTCTAACTGGACAAGAAGCAAAGGGGCATCTCCTCAATAATGATACAGACAGGCTCTAACCCTTTCACACTCCATCCAAAACTAAAAAGATATGCTTTGTCTGGAGCGAGGTTTTAAGTTCTGGAATCAAGAATCTTCATTGTAAAATGATAGCAGCCTATGCATTTCTCTGATGAGAGGCTTACCATAAGCTTTCAATGCAACAAGTGTCAGTATGTAACTACTGCAGAAATACAGTAGTATGTTATAAAATGTAAACTCCAGACAGCAAGGGAAAAGAATCACTAACGCTACCCAGTGAACAGCTGTGCTCAAGTCCGAATTTTGCTTACAGTAACTTATCTTGTGTTCTTTGTAATTTCTTGCATCAAGATTTTCACCGAGTACCTAACAGGGTGGGAGCATTGTTAAATCAGTGGTAGAATCCCCAAATGACATGAAACCA